CAATCCCCTCAAATTCAGGTATATTCTCAAAAACCAAACATCCTCCGTACAATTCATCGACTGTTCACGATAAAAGGTATATATTTTTGTTGTTGCTTGTTGAACTGATAAGGAAAAGGCAGTGAAATTTGAATATTACCTAAATCGCGAACGGTGTGTGACAAACGAAGTTCAATGAATTTTGACCAAGAAAGTTCAATGCATCGCATTTCCACAGAACAAATTGAGCGAAAGGCGTTTTAACGCAAGAAGGGCGATAAAAAAATTTATACTGATTGGCAAGTGGAAAATTTGTCTATCCAACAAATTGATTTCACAAATGTCCAGGAAAAATTCATATTGTTTTTGATAAAACTCCAAAAAAAAATGGCTGCAGAATTAGTTACCACCTTAAAAGTACCATTGAATAATGGAAAAGAAAATTATTGTGTTAGGCTAATAATGTTACCCCCGAGAAGCATTTGACTTTACGTTTAAAGTCACCGCTTCAAACGTTCTGTTTGAACGGCGTTTCGTTTGAACGAAGAAGAGAAAAACAAAACGACGGTAGTTTATGTAATCAATGAAGGGTTTGTTGAAATTTTCACCACAAACCGTGCTTAATAACATTACGCCGCGTGTTTTACGCTTTTTCTGCATTGCTCAGTGATAATCGAACAGAAAAAATGGATAAAACACCCCAAAATAATTGTAATGAAAGCTAAAAAAAACTAAATTCCGGATTTATTTGCGCTCAAGCGCAGAACCACGGAAAATCGTAGGAAAAATTATCAGTTGTTTGGCTCGGTATTTGCGGCTGATGTTGTTTGGTTGTGTTGAGCGAATGGAAAGTGCACAAAATTCCAAAAATAGTTTTATTCAACCATTGGAGGCAAAGATAAGGAATTTTTCCAAAGGTTAAAATAGTTAATGGGTCGAATGTGACACAAACTAATAAAAGAGAGTATGAGAGACAAATAAAACACAGAGCTAGGCAAGTGAGCAAGCTTTGAGCAGTGTGTGCATGAAGGATTGTTTTCGTTACAGTTAAAAAGAACGAATTTTTTTTTTTGTATTGTTATGTAAGCCGCACACGGATACTTTAAATATTCAGCCGAGCGCAATACACCTCGCGAAAACATGCCTGCCTCTCTCTCTCTCACTCTCTCTCTCTCTCTCTCTCTCTCTCTCTCTCTCTCTCTCTTGTGAGTAGAACCGATTGGCTTGTGCAAATGACACAAATAAAAACATTTGCAGCGACTGAAGAGACGAAAAAAAATTGTTTAACAGTTTACATAATCCTGATTTTCTCCTTCACTTTCCTCCGTTCTCTCTCTCTCTCTCTTCCTCTCTCTCAAACACACATGCAACCGTGCACAGCTGATATCACCATTTCGATTCTGCTCACTTTTCTCGTTTGGCCGCTACTTCTACTTCGGCCGTTACTGCCGCTGCCGCTGCTGCTACTTTCTCCAACAGCATTATTCTTACTATGTCACACCAAAGTCTTGCTGTTCTCAATGAGAACTTCGCACTCACCGATTCTCTGAAGTGAAAACATGGGAAAATTAAATACAGTAACATGTCTCCGATGCACCGGATCGACGAAAGAAGAGATAATGAAATATAAAAGGAAAATAAAAATAAAACAATCGGAAAATGAAAGAATGACACGAAGTGTGTGTGCTAGAGTGAGTGAGAGAGAGAATGAGAGAGCGAGTACGATTCAATGGCATATGGGGTAGAGGGACGCATAGGAAGAGAGAGACATAGAGAGAAAGCGAGTGAGAGAGAGAGAGAGAGAAGTGGAAAGTTCATTTGAAAATATCACATGTGTGAATATCGGGCATAATAACTTCGCTTGCCCTTATTTATGTATCGGTTCTGCATGATGACGGCTGCATCGTTGTCGACCCACACCGTCGGTCGATCGATTCAGCCGACGTGTTTCACACATTTCTCCAAATGTGATTTTAACCCAACCAGAATGAGCCAGCCATCCATCCATCCGAAGACTCGTCGTTTTACGATTAAACGTAAATGACACGTCTCTTTGTTTCCCGTTGTGCGCCACTTGAGAAGGCAGGAAAGCATTGAAATCGGGAGAAAAGAGAGAGAGAGAGAGAGAGAGAGAGAGAGAGAGAGAGAGAGAGAGAAAATAAAAGAAAGACGAAGAAAAACCAAAGTTCGAATGAAAAATAGCGATATAGAGACGGAAACAAAAAGAATACACGAAAACGACGACTTACTATAATTAGACCTATTTGTCTCAAATAGATAATGTATAACAAGGAGCATTTAGTCAACGCTCAGCAAACACATCGAGAATGAAATGCGATTCGGTTCGAGGCGCTGAAAATCCAAAGAAACACATTCAAGAAAAAGACACACCACCGAAATGAAAAGCGAGAAAAACACGAGAGAATAATTGAGAAACCATTCCGAAAATAAAATGTGTTAGCTGTGTGTGCAATATATCACTTGACATTTTATGCATATAACATCAATGACAAGCGTCGTTTCCCTTTTTTTTGGTTTTCGTTCAAAGTAAAATGACTTACTATCGACTCGTCGTTCGATAGACATGTGATAGACGACGACGACGACGACGAAGAAGAAGACAACGACATAGAATTTACAAGGGAAATATAGATTGACATGTTCAACCAAAGTGAGATCGCCATGTACACGTAAATTCGTTATTTTGTTCGAAAGAAGACGCAAAGCGACAAAAAGAGGAGTTGAGCAGCTAAAGAGTGAGAGAGCGGCGAACAAGAGAGTCAGAGAGTATGAGCGAGTGAGAGATAGGGAATAGAAAAAAAAGATACCGAAAATGACCTGAGAAGCAATTCAAGCGTGGAAAATTACGCGCATTGAACAAGTTGAGAAGTCCGGTATGTTATTGTGGCAATTTCAACGGTTGACCGACGAATGCGATCGGTATTGAACACGCTACGGTGCTGTTAAATGCACCACCCACAAGACATCGTCACCGGCCAACGCCGCCACCGCCGCTGCTACCGCTGCATCGGTCGATATAATATGGTGAATTTTCCATTTTCACATCGGCAGCAATCCAGACTCGAATTACTTAGCTACCGATTTTTCGTCGTCTTTGTGTGCAAAAGACCAAACCATCGCGCATTGCAATTTGCAAAACCATTCAAACACTCTCTCGACCCCCCCCCCCCCCCCTCCCCAAAAAAAACTCTGCATATTATTTAATCGATTTGAATACATGTATTCAAAATCAGTAAATTCGATCGCATCAGACGGATGGGGCCACAAATGAGTTGTTTTATACACAATTTTTCGCTATCTTTGGTTTTTTTTTCTCATCGAATCCACTGTTTCTGTTTCTGTTTCCATTTTTTCTCTCACCCGATTCTTCGTCGCAATAACAAAAGCAAAAAAGTAAAAACGAGTCAAGCAAAGGAAAATCGAATATTCGGTATGCAATTCAGAACGCGATGGTTTCGACTTCGATTAGGTTGTGAGTGAGTGTGTTTTGTACGGATCGAAAATCCGTTGTTCAAGAGAGTCACATGAATGACAGTGAAGAGTGAAAAAAAAACTAGTGCTGAAAACAACGATGTTCTAAAAGCGAAAAACCTATGAAAGTAGTAGTACACTTGTTATTAAATGGCCAAATTACTGCATTATAGTACAAATACTTTCACGAAAACCACAAAAAAAGGCAGCAACAACAACGAAACAGACGCATTCGTATGAGAGAGATATGTTTTTTTTTTCTCTCGGTTCTGTATTCAGTATTCAGTATGCAAACGCTTTTCATTCACTGACAATATTATTTTTGTTGCGATGGCAATGTTTGCCATTTACGCGATTCATTTTGATTTTTGTTGTGTATTTGCATTCGTTCGTTCTCCTGTTCGTGTCTTTTTTTTCTCGGTGGTTTCATAAAAATAATCAAACTGAATTCACTCTCATTTGAATGGGATGAGTTTAAAAGTGTAATTCGCTTACGCAACAACACACATCAGAACAAATGACGGGACAACGAACGAACGGACGAGAGTGAATCGCAAATGAGCATGTGATTGAGAATGAGAGACGCATAGTGCAAATCAATGGCAAAACCGTACACACACAGTGAGTGGTAGAGGGAGAGAGAGAGAGAAGAGTCGGTGGCGTAAACGTGAACACGGAACAATTGCAAATTGTGTGAATGCATCATAATTTTGTGCTGTTCAAAATCCGACTATAGAAATACAAACATTAGACAGATAATACATATTGTGTGCGGTGTGTGCTCGCACACATTACAAAACCACATTTTGTTCGTCTGTTGTTCTGTCAGTAGCAAAATGTGAACGCGCACCCGCGCTCACGTTCCACTCTTGCAAACGTATTACAAACCGTCTGAACTCTGTTGCAAAGATTGTACTGTCGTTGTTGTTCTCCGGAACATAAATTCATTCAGAATGGCAGGCAAAAATCGAAATGTGCCTTTCAACAAAGTTGCTAACGAAATGTATATGCGATTTGCACAACGAATGAGAGAAGTTGTTTTTCATCACATTCAGAGAGAAGCAAAAATAAAAACAACCATTGGCTATTTCGGATTTCGTTGAAAAATTCATTTACAGATGAAAAAAAGACATCGCAATGACACAGCCCAACTCATTTTCGAACATCATAAAAATTAAAAGTAATTGGCCATTGGAAATGGCTGGGAAAACGGTACTTGTTTTAACAACAATTCGAGCGTTATATTGTACAATCCTACGTCTTTTATTTTTTCTTTCTCTTTGTTTCTCGTTATTGATGGACAACGGCACTACAATTCAGGCAATCGTCTTTATTACATCAACATAATCATAAACAATCGTAGGGACAGAGGAGGAAGAGAGCTGAGAGATGTTTGGCATGCATCGAAACAAAAATTCGTTTCATTTAAATCTCTATTGCTCTCGATTCTCATTGATGACATGCGAATGACAAACACACACATACACACACACTCTACTGGCGCTGTGTGCCAATGTGTCAAGAAATTCAACGCAATAGTAGATAAGACGATGACGACGAGAAAAAGACAAAGAGGTAGAGAGAATGAGATAGGGAAAGCAAAAGTGAATGATCACTATAAACCGTACTGCCTAATTGCTGTGTTGTTTGTTGCTAGCGAGTGTTAAAACACCATGTTCGGGTGTAAATCACACAATTGACAAATAGAACTAAAATAAAGTTTGTGTGAACGTCAAAGTAGCATGATAGTGTGGCACCGCTGCTACCGACAACGGTGTGCGCTCTAGAAATGTGCCACAGAGAGAGGGAAGAAGAAGAGCGATAGAGCGCATTAGTTTTTATCTACGAAGGACGATTTATGTGTACGCAATATGCTCGAGCGCCACCAGCAACAGTGGCAGCAAGCAATTCTACCGCGGCAATAAATTGGAATATTTTAATTTTGAATTGAGTTACACCGGCACCGCATCGTTGTCGCTGCTTCAGCAGAAATGCTGAATCGACTTTCATTTTCATCATTAATCAATTTTTGTCCCTTTAATGTACGTGCAAATTGTGTACTTTCGATATGATCCAAGAAGAAAAACATAGACACACACACAAATTCTTTTTTATCAGTAGTTTCGACTATGGAGAAAGAGGATGATTACGATTTTGTTTCAGATTTTCTATTTTTGATCAATTATGCGAATATTTTTTCATTTTTCATTTCTTTTTCTTGCAGATGAACGATTTCCATTTTAATGCCGCACAATTTTTATTCAGATACTCCCAACAAAGACGGATTTGTAACATTTGAACTTCCAGTGTTTGGCCAGACAAAATTAGTGTGCGAGTGATATTTTTTTTTTATTTGCATAAAAAAAACAAGAAAGATAGAAGAAGCAACCAATCAATCCCAAACACAAAAAAAACGAAAACGAAATGCTACCGCTACCTCTTCGATGAACACGACAATTTGTATCGTTTGTTATCCGCATAAAGACGAGAACGAGTGTGTGAGAGAGAGCGTTTTTTTTTGCATAAGATTAACAGAACCGAAAGAGAAGTTACGAATTAATTTGTTTTTTTTTCCTGTGTGCGCACGCTGCGATAACATTTTTTTTTTCGGTTAAGTTTGAAACGTGCGTGATAAGAAAAAAGTGTGTGTTCATTTCATCTCAATTAAAGAAGAAGAAGGAAAATCATCATCTCATTGTTTGCTGCATTGTGATAAAAAGGAAAACGAGTTTCAAGGCGTATAGAAGACGTGGAAAAATAAACAGATACACCAAATTTCGAATATACAAAAATAGAAGAATAGAGTAATAACGAAACGAACGCCGAAAAGGGAGTAAAAATTCAATTAGCACACTCTCTACCACATGGGAAAAGGAACGAAGAAAAAGACTGTGTGGCGTACATTTTCATTTGAAAATGGCTATACAAATGACACAAACGATGCTGATACCAACGGACTCACTGCATCACATCACCAGAAAAACGGTAAGTGAACGACAACGACGACGACGACGACGTCGACGTCGACAACGACGATGAAGACCACGACGACTTGATGACGAATGTGTGTTGTTTGTTTAGTGTGTACGTTGTGTATTTTGTGTGCGCCGTGGCATGAAATTTCATCGAGAGTTGTGAAATTCATTATATGTATTTTGGTCGAACGATTCTGAATGAAGAGTAAGTGCATACCATTCACCTACTACCTCTTCTCGATTCGAAACACTCAAAAATTTCATTACTGCTCGTGTGTCGGGCTTTATTTTGTTTTTGTTCACTTCAAGTAAACATCTTTTTTTGCTCGACAAAACGAGAACGAGAAAAAAATGCTCGAGCGGAAATTATTATTTCCCAAATCAAACAGTCAGTTCCTCTACTTCTTTTTTTTGTCCAATCCATGATGATATACCATCAAGAGGCAATGGTTCAACCATATCATATTGTACATTTCTCCCATATTCCACACTCAATCGTCATAAACACGAATAAAAACAAACCAAACACTTTTCTTAATGTACTCTCGAATCATTTTCGTAACATTGTGGCGTCTAGTGAATTTTTATGTGTAAATAGAAATAGAAAAACAAACTAGCAATGGACGGCATTTGAACGGAAATAAACGTGTCACAGCGATTATTTTTCGATCACATAGAAAATAGAACGATGATTGTTTTTGATGAGCGCCGACCGATAGATAATAATATGCAAAACGAAGCAACCATTTGTTTTTTCCCTCGCGGCATTCAGCCTCACTTCACTCAAGCCATTTTTTTTTTTGCTTCTTTGTAAAAATATCAGAGTTTATGAAGGGATAAGTGACAAATTTTCTTAATTAAAATTAGCTGAAGTTCGTAATTTTTCAATTAAAAATAATTTTCTGCTTTTTTGTACGTTGCATCGCCAAAAATGCGGGTAATTCACTTTGTTCATCTCAAGTTACAAAATTCAATTTGAAACAATCCCATTGAGTGTTTGACTCTTTTTGAGCTGCAATTTAATCGACTGCGGTTTTAATCCTTTTAAATCTCATTCATTGTACCATTATTCCTATCAGATAGGACCTATCTAGTGTTTGTTGAACCAAATTCCATTATGATCAAACTAAATGCAATTTGGAACCACTTGAATCCTTGTTCGGAATATGATACCTCTTGTTTCATTCGGTGAAATGTTTCAGATTGTTGAATGGAAATGAATGGTTCAATCCATAAGCCATAAAATGTGTGCGCGATTCATGAGATTGGATTTCGGGTGTAAGATGAGCATTCGACGTTGAAACATTCCAAATGTGCAGGTATTTTGAAAGTGCCCAGCCGTAATTTGTCATCTTTATTCACACACATACATCCACACTGAATGCCATGACAGTGCAGAGAATTGAGACCGCAAATCGACCAAATCATGCCACAAATAGACACAAAACCCCAAGATTCCATGTCAAAATTGTCATTCAAACTGCATCTTATCACTTCAGTGATTATGCGAGCTGACTTTATGTGTGTGTATGTGCGTTGTGTTTCAATTTCATTTTCGACAGGCACGACGTGAAGAGAGCGAGAAGAGAAAAAAAATTTCAAAAACCCTAACATACGATTCCATTTATAAACAAGTCACAGAAAGCAAACAGACACGGCTTTCCAATTGCACCAATGAGTGTGCATCGGGTGTGCGTGTGTGATTTTATTTAAAGTTGTTTCGAAGATTTTCTCTTTACATCTTTTTTTTTCTCCTTTCTCGTGGTGTCTATTTGAGCTGATAAAGAGTTGATGCACTTGTACATTTTTGTGTGTAGAAGATGAAGTCATATGTTTGTTAGCAGATCTGTTGAATGGTTGATAAAAAGTGCTAGTGTGTTCAGGACCTTGTCAAAGCAAAGCAACAACGAAAACAAAACAACAAAAAATCAAAAATAAATAGAAAAATAGGCTATTTGAGTGATTTGTCTTGGCCCCTGCTCTAATCTCAAATGAACTATTTTGTGGATTTAGGTCTGGATAACGATGTGTCCAGCCGATCGTCGATCAGTAACGGAAAGATCGTGGCAAATTGGCGAACGGAACGTCGGTACAGCAGCAGTGGCGGTGATGATGAAAATGATGGCGAGCCAAAGTATCACATCGATTCAAATGGCAATGTGAACGGTTGCACGGAGAATGGTCATCGGGCATTTTATAAGCGAACACCATTAGCCGATAAATATCCGTTGCGAGGAAATGGATTACGAAAAGCGCCTTCACATTTCCAAGAGAATGGAAACAAAACCGATTTTCATGATATTCATGACAATCAAGCGATGATGAAATCAAGTCAATTTCGGTAAGAATGCAACACAGATTGATTGATTTGCTGATATATGATGACATGATTTCACCCAGCATTTCTCTCTCTTTTTTTTCCTCTTTTTTTGTGTTTGTTTGCTCTTCTTCTCTCGTCACACACAGATCGAGTCGTTTGACAAAAGTGCCGGTGACGGACTCACGTCATGCCAGCCACAAGAAATGGGATGGTCGAAACGGTAACTATAATTCAAACGGCATTTTAAGCAATTATAGTCGTGGCTTTCGCAAATCACATTACGCACATTCGGATCATCATTCAGCTAATGAAATTCATACCGATGAGCATTTTAACGAAAATGGTTTAGCGAAAAATGCACGCAATGCTGATGACAGTGATAAATGTCAAGATAAAGTGAATGGTGGCATCAACTCGGCACAACAACGACCAGATCAACATCAACGCAGTCTGCAGCTGAATAAGTTCAATGAAGGTTGATAGATTTGTTTTTTTTTCGTTTCATTTCATTTCGTTGTTGTTTTTTAAATTTTGTTATCTGCTTTTCTACATCTTATTCACGGTTGTTATTTTTTTCTTCTGTCGTTGGCTGATCGTTGTTCGTGTGCTATTTCGGTTGTGCAAACGAATAAATTTTGTTATTTTCTTTTTTCCTCTCGGCACTGTTCTGTTCGGTTGTCGCCAATGCATTCATTTCGCTTGGCGCATACAATTTTATTTTTGGTGCATGCGTTGATAGGAGAGCATCGTAATCGTGTGCACCTTCTTCACTCGTTTGTCGAACCAAATCGCACATGATGATTTATTTTCATTCCGCTATCGCAACAATTCAATTTCTCATTTTAAAACCGACACCCATTCCGTCTCTCATTCTCTCTCTCTCTCCCTCTCTTTTGTCACAACTCATTATAAATAGACGAATATACTCGAATATCGACACCGCGCTCGGAAGTTTTATTTAAAAAGGGCTATTTAATGCGTGACAAAAAGTATGTCGGACCAACCAATACGATGTCAACGACTGCAACCACATCGTCCAATGATTCGGGATCGGTGAGCGTTGTATCGAACGAGGAGACCGCATCGTATTACAGTATTCAATCAATGAGTCCCGACAATTCAACCTATCTCAACGGCAACAACTCCAGCGACAGCACCTCAGCCACATATCCAAACGATGGATTTGAACACGACTTATCACTCATCTATTCATCCGGATTCTACGACAATAACGGCTATTTTTATGTTAACCGTAAGTTTTGACAAACAAAAAATACCTAAAGAATTTTCACTTGATGCTTCAGTCGACTTTTTTTTTGCACAGCCTATATTCACAATAACTTTGACCAATTCAATGGTCCAACTATTCTGATGCCTTATGGAACTGCTCCAAACACAAAAGATGTTGATGACTACGATGCTGATGGTAAGTCGATTGAACCAGCATTTTTTCTCACTTTTTTTTTTCATATTCGAACGAAATTCTTAAGTGTAAAATTTCTTGAACGAAATGCCGAATAAATGAAAGACATTTTTCTTATCTAAATAAAAACCATTGAATTTCTGTTCATTACAGCTTTCCCTCCGGCTCCGATGTCACCAGGCACAGGCGATGCTAAATCCATCGATGAAGAACACGCAAACAATTACAATTCAATCAATTCCGAAGACGTAAGTTGCGCTGAAAATGTTTTTTTTTTGCATAAAATTAATACGTCAAAATTGAATTTGCTACAAGAAGATAATTGACCCATTAATGAATTTAATCAATAATGGTTAAAATGTTTTTCACTCATGTTTTTGCCAAAAACAGATGTCGAATAGCTCACTCAGCGAAAATGTCAGCATTAACAATGATCTAGATACGCCAATGAACCCATTAACACCGCCACCATCTCCGCTATCACCAAATGAAAAGCCCATCGCCCGTTCCGAAGCACCCGAAAGTGACAAACCGACGGACGAGACTTCAATAGAAACTAAAATCGAAAACGAAACCGATACTCAAATCGAAACACAAGACGGTCAAAAGGTAAGTAACATTCGTTTCATTTTAATATTTTCTTCTTAGCTTTTGTTTCGGTCAAATTTTGCAATTTTATCATTGAATTCTATATTGCATTTAAATTTGATTTTTATTTGCTTTTGTATTCTATTCTATTTTTGAAAGTTTGACTGAAGTTTTATTGATGCAGAAAAAATGCAATTTCATTTGTATGCCTTTCTGTTAATTTAAATCGGTTAAAATTGTTTGAAATGTTTCTTATCATCATTGGTCCTTGTATAGATCACTGAAACGCTGTCTGATGAACAAGATGAACTGCCTGAAGCGGAGGGAGATGCGGTTGTGTCCGACAATTATTCGATGCCATATTTTTCACCGTTCATTTTTGTTCCACCAATCCCGTTTGTACCAGGTATTTATAACAATTTCACATTGAATTGCAATTTAATTGGTTTTTCATTTTGGTTAACTTAAGAACTACTTTGATACGCAGTAAAAGTCAAAGGAATGTCAAAAAAAAATTCCTTTGAAAAATCAATATTTGAAAATCCATGTATAAAAAAGGATGAACAAAAAAAATCAATTAAATGTTGATAACTTGAAAATAATGTCTTTGTTCTTCGAAATTCTCACATAGATGCTCGTATGGCTGGTTCGAGACGCGGAAAATTCCGTCACCATACAAGCAATCATTTTGGCCGACCAAAGAGAAACAATCGCTTTTCACATTTTTACAACAAAGTGTATATACCAACTAATTGGAGTGTAAGTACAAACTACATGGCTTCGAAAAGACACACTATTTCATAAATCCGAAACAATTGAGTATTAAAAATTCAAATACATGTTAAATTAATTGAAGTGAATTCATTTTTTTGTTTTCATTTTCTGGTTCAATTTGCAGGAGGCACCTGATGAAATGTCACAGAATAATACGAATGAAGAAGAGGTGGTTGAACCGAAATTGGGTGAGGAGAATGCTTTCGAAAATGCACCCACTCCGACTATAGAACAATGTGATGTAAGTGCTTGACCCGTTTCCTCCTTTGTTCGCTTCCACATCCATTCTCCATAAACTTTCTACTTTAATATTGAATAAACCGAATTCCGCTTGAAAATTTATATTCAAATTAAATATTCATTTAATTGTTTCCTCTCTTTTTTCATTGCACCAGACAATCTTAAAAACTAGCAAATTGAACTTAAATGTTTCCGAATTTATACCGCAAAGTAAGCGAATGATATTTGTGCCACTCCCGATTACACCATCGCCACCGGCTTCAGTTTATTTTGTACCGATTCCATCCACCGAAAGCACATTGAATGTGAACGTTCCTGAATTCCTACCGAAAAATTATAAGCCTGTGAATGCAGAAGGGGACGATGGTGAGATTGGTGATGAAGCGCCAGTTTCAGTGGCGCCGCCGTCAAAAATAACGACGACGACGACGACAACGACGGCAATGACCGCCAACATCACCACAAAAATGACGACAATTACAAACGAATCAGCTAAAAACCAGAACGAAACGACGAATATTCATACAAATGGCTTAAATACAGACACTAAGTGTGCTGCGCAACCAGCAGCAACACTAGATAATCAGCATGTAACAAATGGTGTGCACACAATCGCAAGCAATGCCACGAAAAACGAAAAGAACAACAACAACCACCACCACAAAAGTCAACCTGATTATGTCGCAGCGATAAAGCAAAACGGAGTTACTGTATCCATTATGAGTGATTTACTTAAAACAAATAGCGATAATCTTAATTTGGACGCATGTAGTTTTAACAATGAAAATAGTCATACAAATTTAAAGGCTGATTTAGGCAATAAGAAAATTACAAATAATATCTCTAAGAACAAAGTTTATAAAAATGATAACTATTGTAATGATAGTGGTAGTAGTAAGAGCACTAAAATAATGAATAGCAATAAAAATGCAAAAGCTAGGCATGCATATCCCAAGACAAAAGAGACTCCACAAGATAAACCATGCGATAGTCTGACGACGACGACGAAGACATCAACGGCGGCAGCAGTGGCCAGCAAAAGTAGTGATCAATTAGGCCGTGATGCTGGTGTTGAAAGTAGTCCAAAATTGACCGATGATGGAAAAGTGAGCGAGAAAATGATTGAAAAGGCGGGATTGACCTATGCTCAAATGGTGGTGCCAACAAAATTGACTGACGTTAAAACCACTCCAGAAATGACTGATGCTAAAGTTGCGCACGAACCCAAAGCGGCGACTTCAGTGAAAGTAGAACTGGAGTGTTCAAAACTGTCAAAATCATCGATGAAAAATGGCAAACATCCACAACAGCATAATCGTAAGAGCCATGCGAACAAAAAGAAACCCGTACCAGCGAATCGAAACGAGCGGCCGAAACCAATCGAAGGTCCGGTTGAATGGTATACGGTTGGAGCAAAGGGTAAAAAGCATGTTGCACCCAATGGCAGTACGGTTGCCGAAATTGCATTTGAAAATGAGTCAAAAGTGGAAAGAGTCAATAAAATTGCCGAAGAATTGCAGTTGGACATCAAAAAAGATGCCGATTTGGCGATGGACATTATGGATTCATTGACCATTAGCGAGGAGAGGGCCGATGAAGATGTGACTGTGAAAGCACCACGGAAGAAGAAAACCACGGTAAAACCCAAGAAAAAGTTAACAAAAGACAAAGTTCACAAGGAACAAAAACGTCGTGCCACATTTGATATCATTGAACCGAATTTCGAAAGTCCAAAGAACGAATCACAATCAACGGAAGAAACAACAACTGCCCAAGAGGAAGAGATTGCTTCGGAACACAATGTAGATAGTGTTGAGCCAGATGAAAAAGACGCAACCGAATCATCGCTCGATAGTTTTGTATTTGATCCAAATGTTTTTGCTACACCGTGCAATTTGCAAATAGATTCGTTACAACGATCGGCCGGTGGAAAACTGGGCAATTCATTGCGATTATCCACCGGAAAACCGGTACGAAATTTAATCAATACATTTGATATTTATCAACAAGATTTTACATCCGTTGAAAATCAACAGCTAAAACAAGAAGAAGAAATGGTGATAAAAATTCTGCAACAACTCAATAAATCCTTCGATGGCAAAGACACACCGCAAAAGGATGATAAATTGGTTGAAATTGTTCCGGATGTATTGCACGTTGAGACCGAATCGATGACGGTGCATCAAGACACAATGGCGGCCAGGGAGAATAGCGTCGAACGATTTGCCATCAATGCAAAGCCATATCAAAATGTTTACTCGTCGAACCATTTTTTAGAGCATTTTTTTGGCGATAGGAACGACAAATGTGACCAATTCGTTATTTCTACAGACCTATCGTCAAGCGATCAATCCTATGTAGAAGAATATGTTGATGATGATATGCCCGCAAATTTAAATACGTATCCAGCCATTGGCAATGAAGAAGAATCAATTGCTAATGAAAACGGTCAAACGGAAATCGAGCAGAAATTGCATGCAAATGGATTTGAATGTGAAGGAAAATCGATTGAACGTGAAATTGAGAGCGCAAGTGAATCGATTACGGATGACATTGAAAAAAATGAATGTGAAGAGCACGCATATGAAAACGAAACGGCAGAACAATCAATTCAAAATGGCATTGAACGCAATGATGAATGTATTGAAATTCAGCCGGAGTCGATCAAAAGCGAAACTGGAGAAGAAAATGAACTGAATCAAATTGAAATTAAGTCACAAAGCGAAATCGAACAAAATATTGACGAGTCAAAGGAGGACCTTTTGAATATTACCAAGGCACTTGAACAAATATTACAACGACGGTCGGAAGTTGAATCAAAGGTTGAAGAAAAATTGCAACATGGAACTCAAGAAGCAGCTAGCGTGGTCCAAAGTCAAGAGTCTCAAAAATTGGAACAAAAAAAAATGGAAGCTCAAAAGTCAGATGAGGAAATTGAGAAGTTAGACGTAAGCATTGGATCGCAACAAACAGTTGAAGACAATGAAAATGTGCCCGAAGTTCAAATCGAAAAGAAATTTGACGGGGAACATTTGACTGAAACACAATCCGACACCATCGACGTACTTGAACAAAAGACAGAAACACAAGTATTTGAAGTCGCTGAAAATGAAGATTCAATAAAACCAATCGAAGACACGTCAACTGAATCGATCACCATGAGTAAAGTAAATGTACCGAGTGAGGAATTGAATGGAGACCCTGCTCAATCGTTCGGCAACAAATCGACCGAATCGAATTGCAATGAGCCCGTTTGTCATGATCGAGAATCAGTCAGCTTTGAAGAAATTCAAAATGAAGCGAATGAATCGATCTACGACAATCAAATCGAACTGAACCTTCATGAAACAGTATCAGTTTCCCGTGAAATGGAATCAATCTCTCCCGCAACCGTTCTATCTTGTCATGAACAAACTGAATCCGTTTGCGATGAATCAATAAAATTGATTTGTGAAGAGCCTCAACCAGTCTGCGAGAAGTTCCAGAAATCTGTGGCGTCGGTACAAATTGAAATTCAGCCAGCAACCGATGAATGTGCAAATGAACCAAAAGACAATGCAATGCTCGAAATCGAGACAGAGCCAATCTCGCTGGAAACCGAAACCAGTTCAATCGAAACCGATCCCCATGATGTTGCCTCATCGGTGTCATGCAATCAATCGGTCAAGTCAAACTCGAGCAGTAGCACGCGACCATGGTTGCGTATCGTTGACACACACATATTGCAACAGCAAAAGAAAATCCAGCAAACATTTCCAATAACGACCGCTGTTTCGATGTGGTTGAATCAGGTGCAAAAAGAGAAAACGCCCGAGCCAATCTTCCGAATGCCTGGTGACAATCGATTTTTCAGCGCCGCCGCCGCCGTTGCCGCTATCGCATCGACAAAGTATAAGAAACAAGACAGCCAAGCGAGCCACAGCAACAGCAGTATTGATTTGACAGAGGATACTGCAAGCGTGATCAGTGATAGATTCCACATAAATGACGACGAAGAGGAGGACATCATGAATTTCTGGGAATCTCCGACACTAATGACACCACAGTCACCCACACCGCCTCCCATTTACAATAGCTTGTACGGCTCTAGCATAAATTATGCAAATTTAATATCGAATAAAAACGAGCTTCTATGCAATAATATTATCGATTATGAAGCAGCCAACGGCGAACAAGGTGGGACACATGAAAAATCACACAGCAAAAATGGCTTCAATCAAAATAATACAGCGGATGCAGCCAAACCTGGCATTGATGAAAAATGCTACCGGCCACCGCCCGAAGTATGTTGCACCATAATGTAGCATTAAATCAAGATGAAAGAGAAACGAATACAACAACTCAATCCACCCCTTACATCCCATCATCCCAATTAGTCGTAGTTGATCAACTATTTACAGAAGAAAAAAAAAACGAAATACAAAACATTAAATCAATTTACATCAAACGGAATTGATCAGAGAAAAGACACACGAGATAAAAAGAGTCCAAGATGAAGAGATCATTTGTTATCGGATTGTTTTCGTTGATCCACAAATTATTAGGTTGTTAAGTGCTGTGCAGGACATAAGGAATTATAGCTATTTGCTGGGAATTTTCGCTATTCCAACACATTTCTTTTTTTCACACATACACAACACACCAAAATGTGTTTGAACTTATTTTTTGTTTCTTGTTTACATCCATTTGACTTGATTTTTGTTCGGAAATAAAACAGGAAAATTGTATAATGTTATTTACAAAACACACACATACACACACAAATACACATTAGATACACATTATAACCGAGAACACGGTCAAGCCATCACCACCATTTGTTATGCACATTTTTGCAAAAATCGAAAAAATACACTTATTTTTAATTGTTGAAGGTTATTGAAACTAATATTCAAAATTATCTAAATAAACGTTTAAAAAAAATATTCTCTTTTGCCGAATATATGAAAATTGTTTTTTTTTTTGAGTTTGTTTATTTGTGTGTTTGGAGCGGATTTGTTGAATTTTAGTTTAATTGGGCATATTTTAGAAATGGGAGAGTATATATCAATATACTCCGAATGGTGAACACTTTTTTTTAAATGACAGAAATCTAGCGAAGAAGAAATGAAAAATTGAAGAAAAAAAATGGGAATATTGGAAGAATTGATTCAAAAATGGTAAATATGAATTCCGTTTGAGACAAAAGATCGATTTCATTTGTGATTTTTAAACGTAGAAAAGAAAATCAATTTTTTAATTTTTCTCTACTGAAAATATTCTTCTTTGTAAAACGATTTTTGCTTCTTTTTTTATTTTTTTCAATTCTTTTTTTATCCACACATTTGGCTCACATTTTCCAGTTGCAATTTTTGCATTATTGTTCTTTTTTTTTCGGATAATTTTCTTGAGAATTTTGCTTCAGTTTGGCTGACATATTTTTTCAAAGTCATTTTAAAATTAACTTCGATTAAATTGACATCTTTGATTCAAGGGTATATCTAATTTTTGTCAAATTTTTCGAATAAAAAATCATTACACATTTCAATAGTTTTTGTATGATCGTTCGGATTTTCCATGAGTTTTGAAGGAAAATATTGCATGGAAAATAGCACAGAAATGATTTTCAATCATTTATTTCATTTCGTTTTTTTTACCTCTTTTTAGAAGTTTTTTATTTAATTACTAACGAATCCTACATGTACTTCAAATATTTAACACATGCTTTTCAATAAAAGTTTAAACGTTGATTAGAAAAGGAGATGAATAAGCTGAATCTGTTTGTTTCAATATCAGCATTTTTTTAAATTATTACAGGGTAAGTGAAACAGAATGAAAGAAAGCATGCAGAAATGTAAAAAAATATGGAAAAGTCTTTTGAATAAATAATTCATTTGGTTTGAACTTTATGATTTTTTTTCTCTGAAAATTCTCAAAATGTTTAAGGAAAAATTCGAAAAATAAAATGACAAAAACTCCGTTTTATTGCAATAATTTCAGTTTTATTTTGTAAAATCATTATTTCATTCATTTGAAGTATTATTATCACTCGATAATGTTTTTGGCTTGATCTTTGAACATTTCAAAGACATGAATAATACTAAAATGGTCTCCAACCACTTAAAATTGAATTATGCTCAATTTAGAATTTCATTTTGTTCCGTGTTTTTTTTTTCTCTCTTTCCTTTCATCAATGAAATTTAAAATCCAACATTTGCTTCTAGGTAAAAAATAAAATGTTTGTATCACATTTAAGAACTAGGGTTAAATTACCACAAAAAGCTTTAAGTAACAACTATACGCTTAACACATTAAAAAAAACTGCGTTTGTGATTACACGAGTACTGGCAAAATTCTCTAATAAAAAAGTAAAATTGCTGCAAAAAGAAGGAACGTTTTTACTGTTTGAGTTTTCTCTAGATTCTAAACGATTAATTTAGAACAGAATCACTGAATGATCACGTTCAAGCGACCGACGAGCATGCTTCGATATAGTGCCCATCGTATCAACGGGAGCCGGGAGCCCACATAGCGACTGAGCCGATTGCTTGTAAAATACATTTGATCCAATGTTTCGGTGACCATAAATCACTGATTCGTCACCTCTGCAAAAATAAAACAACGAAAGCATATGAGAAAAAGTGGTTTGTGGAAAATTCAAAAATGTGCAAAATTTGTAAAATTCCTATAAAATTGAACTTTTTCGTGCGTTCGTTAATAGCCAAAAATTTGACTCACCTCACTGTAATACTATGCAATTTCGGATTCGATTGCAGATCGTCGCGAACATACTCAAGGGAATTCAAGTCGCTACTAGACCATGGGCCACCCCGAGATAGAGTGTCCCATTCTTGATCAACACAGAAGAAACTGTAGCCGCCATCCGTTTTGTCGCCGTTCATGTTCACATTGAGAATTTGATTCAGATTCGACTCTAATCGAGGTAATTTCGACACACAAACATCGAACTGAAAAAGAAAATTCGGAATAAGTTTCATTTGTAAACTTGAAGAGAAGAAGTACATCTTTGATTGTCAAAATGTGTGTCACAATTTCAAAGATCTAAACCATCAAATCTTACCATTGCTTGAATGTGTTCATGTTTTTGGCCGAAGTTCTCCTTAATCACCAATAGCATGGTCATATTATTTTGGCCACAAATAAACAGTTCTACTTTCCTCAAGTCTCCATCATCGTTCGAGCATTCGGAAGAGCTTTTTGTTTCGATGGAGCCCCGAACTTGGTCAGTTTCGTCTGCTTTCACTGAAGATCTTCGTCGGAATAATTTACCACTATCAAGTGGTGTGGCCAGCTCAATGCCGGGCGTTGTGTCCCATGTGGAAAATGAGTTTGAGCGATCTTCGCTCATGGCCAAAATGGATAGTTTCGTTATCAATGGCGTCAACTGAATGCCGGTTAATTTTCGTCGTTCTTCTGGTTTATCGAAGATACTCTTCGTGTTCGCTGTGTCGCTGGGCACAATGGCCGTGTTGATGTTATTTTTTGCATCACCATTATTCGTCAACGATTTCAACGGCAACGACAATGATTTTCGATTGATATTATTGTTTGGTGGCATTGGTGACTTTTCCAGTGATTTTATCGCTTTTTCCACTTTCATCTCATTATCCGCCGATTTCAAGTCATTTCGAATGGTTTGCGGCTGCTCATCGAACGAATTGAAATTAACGTTCAAATTCTTCGCATTGATTTCGTTCTTGTTTTGCTGATTGACGATTTCGTCGAAGAGAAACCGTGATATTGGTTTGCCAAGGCTATTGAATACTGGATATGTTGGATCAGTGATAGTTCGATATCGATTATTTGGTACAACATCATCGATAACATCGGCATCATAATCGATGCTCAGGTCATCCTGTACGCCATCTACCTTTCCATACGAATAGATTTTGCCATCGGCAATATAGTCACATTCGTCCATGAAATTGGCGAAGCCAGTGCTGATCGGGCGCAAAGATAAGTGTTTGGAGAACTTTCGAAATGCTTCGGTGATATCAACCAGTGAATTGCGTCGCACTTGCTGTGCAAATGGATTGCCGGCTGTGTTACTAAGGAAGCGATCGGATACTTCGAAGAATTTCCCTTCGGGTTTTTCCTGATTGACAGTTTTCTTTTCTTTTGGTGAGACCTGATTGTTTACGATTGGCGGTGGTGGAGGTGGCGGTTCATTGACTATGATCGATTTTGAGCTATTATCCTTTGGAATGGCATTTTTTTCGTTGAACGGATTAGCACAAATGGGCAAAATGTTTCCGTGTAATACTTTGTTTTCAGTCATCGGTGTCGAACACACACTCGTGCGTCCAATAAACTGTGGAAAACTGTCCTGTTCATCGAACGTAATTGAACTGCTAAAACCACTCTCTGGAATGTCTTTTGAGGTGATATTTTTAAAACGCAACGGCAAATGATTCGGACGAACGGTCGCTGGCTGTGGCGTGAATTTCAATGGATTCTCATTGTTTTTCAATTCATTATTCGATTTTTCCCCGCCCATTTTACTGCTGCCTTCACTCGTTGATGCTACCTCTGTGTGCTCTGCATGTTCCTCCGGAATATTTGTGAATACAATAGATTTATCGCGTTTCATAATTTTCTTTTTGAATTGAATCGGTGGATATGCATTGATACCGTTCACAACGGCCGTTGTTCCATTCACAGTTGCATTCACATTCTCTTGATTGGCACACATCATCTGAATTCGCTCGGAATTTTGCACTAAGTCATCATATTCACTCTGTGGTATGTAAATCGTTATCAATTGACAACCAACTGGCACATGAAATTTCACCGAAATCGATTCGGCCGTGCATTTTATACGATGCGGATCGGTTAAAATTAAATTTTTCACCAACTTTGAGTGCAGCTGCGTGGCGATTATTCTGCAATGCAAAACGATTTATTTGTGTGAATACAGTGTGTATGGAGAAAATTTTATGTTGAATATAAACCAATCGATCTTACTTATTGTGATACAATATTGCACCACCCAATACTCCAATGGCACGCTGACAACTCTGCAACGTATGTATTGCTTCCAAGAATATATTACTTGCACTCTGAAGAAAAAAAAGAAATAAATAAAATTGATTAAATGAGTCCATAAGGTCTTTAGAAGAAAAAACAATTAAATATTAATTTAAAAAAAAAAATTTAAATAAAAAAAATCAAAATGAAAAAATTCCCTGTGTGATGGGCCTGTCAATTCATGGTTCGTACCTTTGGCAACTTTGATATCGGCATATTTTGGAAAATGTTTCCATTGTACTGTAAAATTGGTAGATACGTTTCGAATATGTGATATAATTTCTCCGAAATATTTTTATATTGACCGGAAGCGGAGAACTGATCGTGAATTGTTTGAATATCACAATGGAACAATCGAAGTAATGAGCTCAACAATTCGGCTCGATGCTCTAACAGTGACTGGCTTACATTTCTGTCGGTTCCAACCGCCTAAATCATGGAGAGAAATAAAAAATTAATTAACAATTCAAAAATATTGAATAAATAAGAGGAAAAATTATTTTGATCAAAATCGATTTTTTTTAATAAATTAAAAAGAAGGAATAACAACATTGAAAAAAATCGAAATAATTGTATACTTGCCCGTGTGAAAAAGAAATGACTGACTGACTATAACTTCAGTTGACTTTAGTTGATTGAATTTATATTTTTGTTCTAAGAAAATCACTTGGTCCCAAATGAAGCAACTTAGATTGACTTGTAACTTCAAATGATTTCAGTTAACTATGATAGACTTACACTACACTTTGTACTGAAATGTCAATCAAAGTAAGTCATTTTTGTCCCAAATTAGTTAACTGACTGCTCAGTTACTATTTTTTCACACGGGTGAGATTCTTGCAAAGAAAATGAATCGCCAAAATGAATAAAGTATCATTTTCAACTTATTTAAGCCTTTAACTATGAGTCTTTTCTCATTGGAATTTCGTTTTCTAAAGGCGAAATTCCATGAAAAGTGTAAACAAATATAACAAAACAAAGTTTTTGGAATCAATTTAAGCATTTACAAAAAAATCTCTAAGTAAATTCACTCCGACCCAAAAATAATTCTCACCAGAACAAATCGTCCAAATTCTTTGAGTACAAATTTGCCATTCTGTAGTGAAATCACGTTGGCTGTGCCAAATGTTTCGCGTAGAAAATGAACGGTGCCCATGAGTTGGCCGCAAAGTGAAAATTTCTGTGTGTCCGATACCCATGTTGGATGAAAATAGAGAACGGCATCAGCTGGATCGTCTTCTTCTTTCTGACAACACTCGGTGTCGTAGACAAAAACAATCATCATTTCCCTGTAGGAAAAAACAGCGAATGAATGACTGGCTCAAAATAGACTATTGGGCAAAACACTTGCGTTAAAAATTGACTTACTTGGCCATGGCGATATCGCTATTTCGCCTGTAATCCACTCCGTACTGATGGAATCTGAACGTTTGTAATTGTTGCCTATCAAAATGCAAATTAACGATGTTCAATTGACGTGTTATTGGTGTGTGTGGGTGTATCGTGTGAAATTTTTTCCGGAAAAAATAATCATCAAACGATTTGGGAGAAAAGGGAAGGCACGCTCGTTGCGCTTCGTGCAGTCAGTTCAAATCGAGTTCGACAAAAAATGCTCGCGCGCGTTTGATTTTTGAGAGTGAGAGAGTGAGAGCAAGCCATCTAATATAATTAAAATGATAACCCGTCGACTTACAATTACGGTTGACGTTTATGTTTCCCGTTTCCGAACGCCAGCTTTTGTTTATTCAATTAGGTGAGTTGAGTTAGCTGATTTCTACGCCGTGGACACACTGTTTCTTTGTGATAACAATAATAATAATTTGTGCATCGGTCGGTGAATGTGAACACACGAGAAATAAAACGAACAACGAAAGATATATGTGTACAATCCGTGTTTACTAGCGTGATTAAGTTTTCGATTATTGGTTTGTTGTCATGTTTTTGTGACCGGAGCGGAAAGATAGAGACTGAGACACGACGAAAAATACGCAAATATGCGTTATTGTGCCTTTCAATTTTGATTGAGAATTTTTGAGTGTGGAAAATTTTTGTGTATCGCCTTGTTTTTTTTTAATATTTTAACATCGAGGTGTTTCACACACTCACACACCTTTTCCCATAAAATCACGTCACTTTTTTAAAATGTTTTATTTAATTTGGTGTGGACGAGAGGACTAGATAACAAATACACTGGCAAATGACTATTCCTTCTTTCGATAAAATTTCAATACAACGCGCATGATTGTACTCTCCCAAATGCATTCGCCTATTGAACAATGGAAACATCGACTGTCATCGGTGTGTTGTTTGTTTTGTTTTGTGATGCGTCTTCTGTTTACTTGGTCTGTTTTTCTGCGGCCACTGCACAATTCTTCATTCGCATGACAAACTGTTCTAAATCGAATCACCGCTCGAATGTTACATGAAAATTGAGATCTTGTCATCGAGATAGGTTTGTGCGGTTTCACTCTAACAACACTTGATATCTCATCGATAAGATTTCGTCAGCAAATTATTAGCTTCACATACAGAAAATGAAGAAAAAATCAACAACAATAACAAGAGTAATCGACGAAGAACAGCACGAAACACTATATCTTTGAAACATTGGTTTACACTTATGTGAAACGTCAATTTTACACATACACACACACACGAACACGCGCGCCCATACAAAATGTGTCAGATTGATATAGACAGCGTACGATATACTCACCATGTGTTGGCTGTGTTGGTTGTGTTGACAGCACATGCGCAATTTGACTGATACGAGTCCTCATGCTTGCCTATGGTAAAATATGAGCAGTACGGTGTAAAAATCATTGAAACTCTCACTATTTGCACGAAATATTCGTCACTTTTGGAATATAGAAATCACGTTCAAATCGGCCTCGAATCCGTTGTTCCAATTTGTCAAGCAACCACCGCACCAAATTTCATTCAAGGTTTCTTTTCATTCAATTGTTGGTGTTGTTTTTGCTCTTGGTTCAACGGCACGTTGGATTTTGTGTTGTGGTAAGTGGTAATAAAAAAAATTTGTATTATTGTGTAATTCTCGAATTGCTTAAGACCGCCACGACCGCACTCAACTATTCAACTGTGTTCACATTTGCGATCAATAGTTTCAACCGGTCATAATTTGCACCACAGCTTGTTCAAATGCCGTGTGTTAACCGATAAGCTACTACTTTTGGTAGCGATAAAATTGCAAAAAATCCAATCGCGCGACAAAAGTTGTTTGCTCAAAGAGTGGTTTCGAAAAGAGGCTCTTGAACTCAAGAGTCAACGTTCATTCACACGTTCGGCACAGACAAACACACACATCCGAACCAACGATAATTGTGAATTAAATAAAAAGAACGGACAACTACACCGTGATAATTTCTGCCAGTGAAACGAACCGATCACGACAACGAGCTACAAATTAATTGGCCAAAATCAGATGATCGTACGTAGTTTTCTGTGCGGAAAAATAATAATTGAAAGAAAAAACGAACAACAACGGCAAAATGAGCAATTCGTAGAAAATCAGTGACGACGCGTGCGAGATGTGAATGGAACACATGACCGTAAACAAATCGCGCCAAACGATCGACAATTTATATTATCAATACGATGTAAATATAGAACAGAATTCCTATTTAAAAACTATGAAAAAAAACGAGACACAGAAGCAAAGACATGAAAATATCAAGGGATTTTTATTTCCCATTCGGTTTTACGCGTTAAAGTTCCAATTAAATTCTAATCGGTTATTCGTTATTTATCGCATATTTTTCCACCAGGCAAATTATTGATGACAAATTCCAACGCAATAATTTCGACGAATTGTGAGAGAATTGCGATTGAATCGGAGAGACGGAGAGAAAGCGAGAGTGAATTGCAAATATTACGCAGCTTGGAGCCGATCGACTGACACACGATAACATGAATAGCATCGGAGAGAATTGTAATGAACTGAAGCGAGACTATGATGCATGCTTCAATTCATGGTTCGCGGAGAAATTCCTGCATGGTAATACCAATGATTCAGCATGTGCACCTCTGTTCAGAGTCTATCAACAGTGTGTAAAGGTTGGTTTTTCTTCTTCTTTTCTTTCCCCCTGAAATTGCGTTGACTCTTCGTTCACTTCATTGAAGTATGTAAATTTCGCTTTGCTCATCGCAAATTTTCCTTATCATTTGATTTCGCAGGAGGCGATACGAGACCAAAAAATCGATTTGAAGGAAATCGAAACGGATCACCTCGGCACCGAACGAGAGTATCAAGTGCCTTCCGAAAAGAGCAAAGATGACAATAAAAAGACAAAGGGCTCCACATCGAAAAGCTGATCAAATTCCATTTCCACGTTGTACATTTAAACCTTAGTTGTATTAGCAAAATCAAATAAATTGTTTACATTCTTTCTTTTCTCCTTCATGTTTAAATGAAATACGAATATGGGTTTTTTTTTCCAATTAATTGTTTTTACACCGAATTTATTACTAAATTTTAAATGCTACAGAAATGAATGCAATGAATTTTGCATGCTCTGTTTTGCAACAACTTAAAAATGAATGGTATCGCACTTTTTATTCTGTTTAAATTCCACCATTTAATGGTGAAGCTGTTTACTTCGATTCAAAGAATTGCTTGGTCTCTTGCAACAAATCGACGAATAGTGATTGCTCGTATTGTGTGGCCAATTCTTGCATTTTGCGCACAAATTCATCGGTGACACCTTTTTCCGACAACAAATTCATCAGCAAATCGTAGAAGTATCCGTCGAGCATATCGCCAGCACAAGCGTACACCTTTTCACTATGTTTACCCTTGAAAATGGTTAATTCTTCGATACCGTACACATCATCTGTGGATGAAAAAAAAAATTGTGAGAATTTTAATTTGTTAGAAATTTGGAATTTATGGTAATTTTTGAATCGAAAATGGCTAAAAAAGTAAAGGTATGGAATAATCAGAGAAAAATGAAAGAAGAAGAAAAAATGAAAAAATAAACCAAAGAAAACCTCAGAAAAAAAACTTAAAAAACACTGAATTGGGAAAATCAAAGAAAATGAAACGATAAAAAAACAAAACAAAAATGTGAAAAACGCGGAAAAATCTCCAGGAAAAAAAACACCCACCGTATTCACCTTCTTGTGCTTTTTCGGTCAAGAATGTGCAGCTCAAGGACAAGGTCGTGTCCTTCTTAACGATGTCAACTTCAAAGTTTGGTTTGCTGTGAAGCTTTGGTGGTTCTTGTTGAGCTTGCTGTTGATTGTCGACTTCCCAGTCTTCATCACTTTCATCGACTGTGTGGTTCACGTTGAATTTGACAATGACCCTAAGCAAAATGATAATTCATGAATATTCACTCACATTTTCATTGTTGCATCAATCTTCAGAAATGTCGATGCTTCAATTCAAATTACATACGTTTCGTTTGCTCCCGTTTTGGTGAGTTCAACTTCGGCGGCATCGAATTTGATTTGAAATCCGTCCAATTGTGATGGCAAATGTCCAGCCAATGAGCTCTTTTCTGTTTCGATTTCCTCTTGCAGGAATTCAATCAAAGCCTTTTCGCCTGTCACAAACACAATATCCAATAAGAAATCAATGCCAAAAATTCTCGAACATATACGCAAAAAAAACATTTGAGGTTATGTAATGTATCGTCAAGCCCAGAATCATTGAAATATTTGACGATGGAAAGGAAACTGAAGCAAAATTTTTTTTCTTACCGTTGGTTGATGTGAAACGTTTGCCACAACCGCACTGGCAGCCAGCAAATCCCGTACATCTGTGTTTGGTGGATACAACCGACGGTTTCGACATGTGCCATAGAGACCGAGCTCCGACTGCCCGCAATCCGCTGGATTGTTGGATTGGCGATACAATTGATTTGAATGCACCGGAACGTGCGAGGCTACGTAAAATTTGGCTCATTTTGAAAGAAAGAAATGATTAAAACAATTTGTCAACGGTTGAAAAAAAACGAATTTCACAATTTTCTATCGAATGAACACAGTTTGAGTGCGATTCAACTCTGATCGTCCGGCTTTTTTTGTCAGAAACACTAAATAAAGTGATAAAATACACACTCTCACGCGGTCTTTGTACATGCGATACGGTAAATGACAGCTAGCAAACGGATGCGTTCAATGGGTTCGTTCAACAGAGAGACGCACACTTCATTGTATACTATTGCGAAATATTCTGTATACCATTATTCGGATGACGAATGCGATGAGTCGCCGATAGCTTCGTTTAAAATGAAAACAAAAATGCAATTTTTTTTTGAATTATGTGCCATTTTATTCGATTTACAATAGCGGAAGTGAATGTGAAGGAATAATATATGACATCGGCGATGAATGCTTAAAAGAATTCACATAAATTATTACATTATTGTCGTGCATGGAGTGTTGATTTTTATTATTCCAATAGCTTTTTCAATTCACCAGACTCGTTGAGTTTCTTCACATCAGTACCGCCACCGATGAATTTGCCTTTGACAAACACGCGAGGTACCTTTTGAATGAAAATTCCAAATTAGAAAGAATTAAATCGATTTTTCTCTCATTTAAAATATATTTTTCTCACCGTTGTTCCTCCGGTGATTTGACCCAAAGCCGCTTGAATCTCATTGCAATCGTCGCGGTTCTCCAATTCAATGGCAGTGAACTCTTGCTTCAACTTTTGGAATTGCTAAAGATGAATGAAAATAAATCGATTTGTTGATATTAAATTCAATTTTGTAAAAAAATTTATTCAGCTGTTTCTTGTGTTTCTTCAGTGAAACAATAGTACAATTTTGATCGATTCTGAATCAAGTAGTCAACTCATCAATTTTAGTCGATGCAATTCTTATCAGAATGATTCATCGAATCAAAAGTGCACTTTTTTGACTCAAACACACGGCATTAAAATCGAATGCTTACCTCTTTGGCCATTGTGCAGTATGGACAGTAGGTTTTCGAAAAAATAACAACCTTATCTTTGGCAATTGTCTCACTCACGAACTCAGCTGCCATTGCGATATTCTTTGGATTTGAACGAGTAAAATTTAGTATATTTCCCATTAAAAATGTTTAAAACCACTTTTCAATTATTTTTTTTTTTTTAAATGCGACAGCCAAAAGCGATTCAAAGTGAATTCCCAAAATTAAGTAAACGTAAAATAAAAGAAAAGTATCTGTAACAAATTTGTTTCCAAAGAAAGCGACGTATCTTTACCTCTGTTGTGCAAAACGAATAAATTGTCAATGTCACCGTCTCACCGACAGACTTACAGTATGAATAAACAGCAACAGTGCGCTCGCGTTCGACAGCAACGCACTAACACATACTCATCTTCGAATTCGAATGAAAAACGTTCGTTATGATTCCGTTTTGAGTGTGTCTGTTTCAACCGATCATCAGAGAAGAAAAAAAGCTGATAGTTTGTGGGAAGTTTTATTGCAAAATAAAGCGATAACAGAAATAAAACAACAGAAATGGTCATCATTTTGCGAGCAATTATTGCTCGTATTGATTTCGCTTTTAATCAGTGATAATTTTCAATACATAGGGGGTTTTTGTTTTGCTTGAAAAGAGTCCAATATAATTGTACGTGATTCTTCTTTTGCTTGCTTGATTCAATCTACAATGTCTACTTATGGAGAAAAAATAATTTTGATACTAATGACATGATCCTTTTCAATTTCTACTCTCTCTCAATCTGTCTTTGTGTGTGTCTCTGGTGCAATCTTATAAATTATTGAAATAATAAAATGGTTATTACACTGGAATTTTTTTGTTTTTTCTTTTTATTCGTGTATTAGTTTGCATTGTATGTATTTTGTTTGTTTCTCTTTCGCATTTTTTCCCGATTTTGTTTTTATTCTTCTTTTGACTAGGTTTAAATAGCTACAGGTAGATTTTTCGCTTCAGTTTATGGCGTCATTTCACGGCGGCAATACTACTCGATGACGATTGCTGTGTGGCAACGGCGGCTACCGATTGTGATGCAGCTGCTGACGATGACGACGATGACAATTGTGACTGCTGAGACTGCACCGCCGTCAGCGGTGGTGATGTACGCGTCGATGGGATTTTCACTAAAGGATTTCGGACCGTCGCATGCTTATGACCATTCGCATCTAAGCGCACTGTTGTGCCACACACCTAAGGAGACAAAATAGAGATAAGTTCAAAAAAGAGAACTTTTTCTTCTTTTTTAATCTCTTTTCTTTGGACATACCTGGTGATGTTGCTCCCAGTCCTTGTGTTGGCAAAATGATCCACAATACCGGGCCAAATTGCAACCAGAGCATGTTTCATTGGCTTTACGTCCACAATTCCAGCATGTATTCTGCGTACCGATGCTTGGCGGCGTTAAACGTTCCGCCACTTCTTCCGTGGCGCTCTTGTGATAATCTACAATATGATAAACATTCAATTTTTATTGCAAAATTTGAATTTGAAATTTTCTATGATAAAATATGCAACTAATGGAATGTTCTCAACCACATTCAACATTGTGGTAGTGATTCAAAAATGAAAGAGTAAATTTCCAAAAAGAAAAGGTTAGATCTCTCTCCCGAGAAACTAAAGCTAATTAAAAACCAAATTCAGATTTCCTACCGGCAAACATTTTCTCCAATTTAATCCGTTCTTGTGCCATCATCTCTATCGCTCGCGTTTCGGCCGCTGCCACCGCTCGCTGAATCTCCATGACCGCCTGTCGTTTCACTTGATTCACTGCATCTTCGGCATTTCGTCGGAATTCGGCCACTTTTTCTTCAGTTTGCCGCTTAATTTCAGCCATGGATGTGTCCGCATGCTGTGGATTGGACTGTGCAGCACTTGAAGTTTCAACACCTCTTTGCTGCAAAATGGTGATGGCCCGCTTAGTCTTGTCAACCATGGCCGATATGCAATTTAACATTGTATGAATGTTTTTCCACTCTTCTTCGCCACGATTTGCAACCACTGAAGATGCTGCAGCTGAACTGCCCGTTGAACCAACACTTCCATTGTTTCGATGAACATCGCTGGTCGCCGCCGATGAAGTAAGTGTGTTGACACTTGCTGCACTGGTGGCGCCATTGTTTGAACTACGAATGTCACGATCTTCTCTTAAGTTATTCTGGTTCTTTACGGGAAAAAAGGAAATTATTAACATTTTTCTGACTATTAACAACAATTTTAGCACAAATGGAAAACGGATTACATTCGCTTTAGGCGAAATTTTCCGTTAACTTCACTTAAAAACCTCTTTTATGGTAATTTACGCGTGATATTCGATCAATAAATGGTATTTACCTTGTCTAAACTGTTTGCGAATGGTTCTAGGTGTGATGCTGGTGCAGTTGAATAATCAAATAAACTAGGGTAATTGGTGAATAAGTGACCGTTGGCAGCTGACGTGTTCATCATTATATGTGAACGCTTCGATGGGTGCATATAATCAGACCATTCATGTAATGGATTCTGATGGTCGTAGACTCTGTGGGAAAAAAAACATATTACTTTCATGTGTTTTTTTTTATTTCAAAATCAACTAACCAAACAAATGGAAAAAAATCATATGAAATTTAAAAAAAATCTTCATTTTAATTCGAACTTGAATTTAAAAAAGCCACCTAAAGCAACGAGATGCTCTTGGTGCAGACCTATAGCATTTATAATGACAATAAAAAAAGAAAACGAAATACTCGAGAATAGCTGAAGGAAATTTCTAAATTGAAATAAACAATTTGAAATGAATACCAACCCTTCAGATGTGCGACGCTTTAAAAGTAGTCTTGAATTTCCGTTTGACGGTTGGTGTCGTTCGTTTCCGTTTTTGGCACCTTCGCTTGGCATAAAAATGTCGGACGATGAACTCTCGGCCGATGCATTGACAAATTCAAAAACGCTCGCTTCATTCGATCGAATGTACTGTAAAATTGCCTGTGGGCATAAACAAAAAATGAATCAAAATCTCGTGTAAACATTCACGGTGATTTGGGTAGTGGACACTTACCTGATTGCTGGCCTTGGCTAAATTTGCTAAATCCCTCTTGAGCACGGGAATATGTGACTTCAAAAATGGTAACACGTACGGCCTGAGTGGAAAATTTACCGATTCCTGTAAAGCTTGCTTGAACGCTTCGGTCGATAAGCCACCACTCTGAAGATTGAAAGAAAAATGAAAAATTATTAGCACTACTTTTTGGTGGAATATGGACTTTGGTCCTCCATAATAAAACTCGATAGTATATCTTGATGCAAGTGTCCAAATTTTTAGAGTCAAACGACAAGAGATACAATTTTTATGAAAGTAAATGAAGAAAAAAACAACGATTCCAGAATACCAGGCAAACGATAAAAATTGAAGAAAGAAAAACTGCAAAAAATGACGTTAATCAAACTTACAACAAGTGACAAAATGAGTGAACGAACGCGATCGCCACATTCGGTGCTGGTGTCCTGGCCGAATTGATATAGAGCGCCTAAGAATTTGCGTAGTTTGCTCAGTTCTTTGGATGGGTCAGTTTGTAGAATTGGTGTTGCAGCTTGTGGTGTTGATGCGGCCGATGATGTTTGCGGTGGTGATCCACCTTTCTGAATGGGTGACGTGCTTCCGCTGGCCGTTCGTTGCAGTGCCAAACTTGTATATTGTACCTTTGGTGAAATTGGGGATCGCGGTGCGACCGCCCGAACACTTTCGGGCGAATCAGGTGTTCTACCTGCAGGAAAAAAAATGGATTTCGTGAAAAAAGCGATCTATTTTTGCATGCAAAAAAAAGCAAAATATTCTTTGAATGGAAATAATAAACGATTTTTTCATGCCATTAAAATCAAATGATTGTATGTACAGTACACGTACAGTTTGAATTGAATATCGTGCATGTGATTGAAGCATAAAGTATTGCTCATTATAAATTTTCTTTAATATATTTATTTTTGGTGTATGCACACGCGCTGGTTGCAGTCAGCCTTAAATTAAATGAGCACCTGCAGCAAAGTGCTGTTTGTGTCAGATGTTTGTCGATGTTCAATATGAAACACAAATTGATTTTTGCTGATTTTTAATACGTGCACATATTTCTTTTTTCGTTCGTTCTTTCTCTCACTCATCCCTTGAGGGTGGGGTGTGTCACTGCTGCTGTTGCATATTGCTCGCGAAATTTAAAATTGAATTTTCAGCACTACATGAAATGTAGAGCTACTAATCTGCTTTTTTTTTCTTAATACTTTTTGAGTGATGAAACAAATTATGGTGAATTTGAATTTTATGCTCATATTTTTTATTTAATTTAAAAGAGGTGCACTAACGACAAATAATTGCACAATATCTCGAAGCGCCAATCAAATTTTTATTATCAAATGTTGTTTAAAAATTACATTAATTATTCGTATAATATTTTCTGAGTCTTGGACAGAATTGAAGTGATTTTAGATTCTATGCTCATATTATGATATATAGGGTAGGGGGGGGGGGGGTTAATTCGCGCCACTTTTTTTTCCTAATTTTATATTTCCATGAAAGTTTGGTATCATTTTGTAGCTTGTTTATTTATCTAACTTTTATAGACGAAATGTTTTTGGTTTGATCCCCTTTGGGGTCCGATCTAGCCCTTGGCGTGAAATCCAAAAAGTGCGGGGCAATTCGCGCAGGTGGGGTAATTCGCGCCACCACACGGGGTAATTCGCGCCGGCCGCATTTTCAGTGTTTTAAATGTGTTTATCATCCGAAATAGTGTTAGTGTTAGATTAGTACATCCTTCGCTGATGTTGTGTCAAAATTTCATGAAATTTGGACCGCTAGAAGCGAAGTTATTACACCCAAAGTGACACTACCTATTTTCGTCGGTCGACAGGCGAATTTTGGCCCAAAATTCGAAAAAATGACTGCGCCGATTTTTATTTATCTAAGAAGTAGTCCACGCATTGTCAAACCCGTGGTACCGTTGGAAAGGTAATTGATGGTGCCACAAAAATACTCAGTCAACAACCCCTTCCGACCCAAGAAATGCCGCGCACAAGAAATGCGATAAGCCATAAGCACATCACAGTTTTGGACATAACTCTGTCAAAAAATAATATTTTTGAGATCTGGAACTTTTGATTGACCAGTATAAAGTCCATCTACATTGCCACATTCACAGATATGAGTTCCGAGTGACCAATTAGCGGTAAAACGCAAAAATGAGGTGGCGCGAATTGCCCCGACCCATATGTTGCTGTTCGGAGTTCGATTCAGCCACAAAAATTGAAAATATTCAAAACAAATTTATATCCATAAGAAAGAGCTGGTGAAAAGCTACAAAATACATCAACCCGTTTTTTAAAATATTAAATTTTAATGGTCAAAGCTGAAATTCTGTGAGCTCGAAAAATGAACTCAGTACTAGCACAAAACACATTTATGCCTGTAGATTGCTTGTACTCGAATGAAGAGCTGTCAAATTACTAACCAAATACTGCGTTTTTCTTGCTCTTTCAAATGACACCAAGATCATTAGTATATGTATTGCCTGTGTCGAGAAAAAGCCGATGGCGCGAATTATCCCGCGGCGCGAATTACCCCCCCGTACCCTAATAAATAATTATTTATTTAATTTAAACCAAAGGCAGTGTATTTCAAAAAAGAAATAAAATCAAGATCTTGTAATTCATTTTGCAAATAAATATGTTATTTTAAAGTTACTTTGATGAAATACATTTCATGTAGTGCGCAAAAAAATAGTTTGTTGTGAAACAACAAAATAGATTAAGTAACTAAAAACTCAAGAACGCAGAGCGGAGCGAAGCTCTGCGGTCTTGTTTTTTTCTCTGACTTAAAACTCATCCACGCATATACAATTGATTGCCACGTCCGCATTTATGCGCAACCATCAACTGCAGAGCAAATACGATTTCTTCCAATTACCCATTTGCTGTCAACCATATCATTCGCGATTCAATCAACTAACTCTCTTAAATAAATAATTTTTTAGAAAAATGTGGCCAAAAACCAACAATATGAATCGTAAATGGAAGATATTCAGCAAATGATGGCATCTATACGGTAGAGTTTGGAAATTTGATTAAATGATTTCGTAACAAGGTTTACTCAAATATTGGAAATGATATTTGTCAAAAATGGCATTTCAAACGTCATTCATGATTCATGTTAGTGAGCTTCCGATGGGGACAAACAGAACTCTGAAAGGTTTTGGATCTATTGAATATAATAACATTGTGGTTCACAGCGTTCGCAAAAACAAACCGGAAATAAGGTAACACGAGTATAAATCATTAAATATTGCACACGTGCGACGAACTCGTGCCGGTTCAGCAACATAGTTCATATTCTCCAAATGAAATTATGTATTCTCTTTATTTTTGGTATATCTGGTGCATTTACTGTCCGCTTTTCCTTTCGCCTTTCTACGAATAATATCACACATGGATATCCATTTTTGATATGAACCAACGATGTATCATCGAGACTAAATTTAACTAAACATGTATTATATTTGAGTGGGCACGGGTATAAATTGCCATTTCATATACTATATAAATTCCACATGGAAAATGGTCATTTTACTAGTGTCCAACTTTACTTTCATTCACTGTTATTGTCTCCATTTTACTGGTGACTTCGAAAGAAGGGCTCTGTTACTACATTCGAAGCGTACCACACGCTGTACGCTTTTTGGAAGAACTTCGATTTTGAACACGATCCATTGACAAAGACCTTATCAACCAGCTGATTGTCTCATGGGTGTTTTGTACAATTGGATTGAATTTTGTTACAATTCAATGTGTGTTTTTCAGAAAGTTTTCGAATTCTGTTCAATTAACGGTGGATCAAACGAAAAGCCATCAATCAAACATCAAACAGGGCGCATGGCATAGGGTATAAAGAGAATAAATTTGTTTGTGTGTCAAATGTGTTGAAGGCCCCATTTGCAACACATACACAGGAACACACGTCAGTGTGTCACGCGTTTCGTTGGTTTTCTAAGTTAAAATGAAACAAAACCGCATTCTGTTGGAAAATTCACCTGTCAAAACAATATTCGCTCATTCTATAAATGCTCATAGCCACAAATGCAATTCACCGTTTTGCAGCAGCAAATAAAGTGAGTAAATTTGGTTTCGTTACCACACTTTCTGTTGCGCTCTCGCACACGCATTCCTTGTAAGATTGTCGCTTATATTTCGCAGTTAATTCATCAAATCCGTAAGAGAGGGAGAATAAATCGTCGTCATCAAGAAAATTGTATTTTTTCCATGTTTACACATATCCAAAATGTGTGTTTGTGTCCTTTAACGCATTTAAGATGCGATGCAACAGCCAAATGGAAAATGCTCTCCATCCCAATACATGTGTGTGTGTATGTGTGCTTGTAACCAATTATAAATCTGTCACGAGCAAAGTTTTCAACCGGGAAAATTGAAAATGGTTTTCCACAAATACCGGTGCATACACAACTACACCGTTCACAAACACTCGCGAAACAAAATACTTAACAACGCTATCCTTCTCTTCCTCTTTCTCTGGCATTCTCTTGGACTCACATTCTCTCTCGCTCTCTTCACGGAATGCTGTTCTCTTGTTTATTTGTTCGTACGCTTTAGTCTCCGGCATATTCCGGTGAGTGTCTCGGTGTGCCTTTAATAGCACTCTGGTTATTATTTGGAAAAAAAGCGCGCTCAAATCATCGATACTCTCTCTCTCTCTCTCTCTCTCTCTCTCTCTCTGTCTCTCTCTCTCTCACTACACGACACAACAGCAAAAGCATACAAACATACACACACACACATTCAATATGCTTTAATTAAATTCCATGGGTGCGTGCTCTTGTATGACTACATCTCTTCCTTGGTTTTGGTTCACTTAGTGATTGTTTTTGATGTATATCAAAATGGTACAGAGAAAAACACTCTCTTTCACACGCACACACACACACGCGCGCGCTCATATATGAAATCGTCCCAAGGCAAATCGTTTTTTTTTCCATTGACTTTTCCCTTAACATTCGTGGATTTATTGAATTTTTCCCACCGAAACGCAGCAAATGAAAATCTAATTGTTACTCTCCCAACAACAACCAGAAAAAAAAACTTTTCGATTGCGAAACGATGGAGTGAAAATTGTCTCCGCGCGTCTCTCACATGCAGTCACACACACACACACACAAACCGCTCTAGATCCTCTACATCACATCAAAAATCATGAGCAAACACATTTTCAAAGTACGAATCATAATTGAGTAATTTTTCTGCTTTGATATCAACGACATGTTTCTGACAGTTTTTGGCAAAGAACTTGCCGAAAGCACAACGAACCGAATGAAGGATGGAGGAAAGCAACAGCAGCAGCAATGGTAAAAAAAACACGAATCTCAAAATTGAACAAAAGAATCGGAGAGGAAGCAGGATGGGAATGGAAAAAAGAAATCTGAACACGCGGTGTTTGCAATGCGAAGTTCTGTGTGGCTTTGTATGTGTGTGTGTGTGCAAGAAGTGACACAAACAAAGAAAGAAAACAGTACATTCAATCACTGGACTTGACTTAATAGGCATATTGCAGTGAAACCAAATGATATAGCTGAATTCAGCACAACAAATTTGTTTGGTGAAATGTCAAGCCTGAGAAAGCTTTACATTTACCCTCCAAACATTGAAAAGTGCCTTTTGATGGACTAAAGAATCACCGCATTGAATGGCTTTAAAAAATGTACGTTTCAGTGACCAAAAATGCTATTAGAACGTCTTGCATGACCAGAAAAGTACCCGCCCGTTCCACTAAAAATGAAATTTAGAAAATCGACTAAATCATCGATTTTCAGTGAAAAAAAAATGTGATTCAATCACACGAAACTGAATTTGCATTTCAAATAGGAATCCGTTGGTTTTGTCATTTCATCGTCACGAAAAATGTTTGATTTATGAAACACTCTTTACTTGACCCATTCTTCGCCCATCAATTCAGGAATGTTGATGTTTTTTATGTCTATGATTTTCTTCTTCTTATTTCATTTCGAGCTCATATTCCCGCATTAGGAATCAATATACATTCTTTGATTTGCTTGAATTCTTTCAATTACTTTCAACTATTTTTGTTGTTTTCGGGAGGCGGTTTCAAGTTAAATCACCTGTATGTATCGAAACAAAGTTCAAGTCGGCTGAAATCGGGTAGACAGAGACAGAGAGAGAGAGAGAGAGAGAGAGAGAGAGAGAGAGAGAGAGAGAGATAATTTCGTATTTGATTAGTCGTCTATCGGCATTGAGCTCAAAATGCAAATGATATCGTCTTCGATGTATCTGAATCGATGTGGGTCTGCTGAGTTTAGTGTGCTGGTTGACAACATATACAGAGAGACTAACGAGAAAAAAAGCATCGTCAAAAAGCAGAATTGATGCGACATAGAGAATAGCAAGAGAGAGGGAGAGGAAAAAAGTAATCGAAGAAGAATGAGAAGAGTGACGATATGCACGTATCGTCCAATGAACGCACAATGACATGTCATCATCAGCACAAAATTCACACGGCTTTAAATGGGATAGACGTGAGCGCGCGCGCGTCCGGCCAGCTCATTGCCACCAATATGGGCGGTTGGGAAATGTGCTTTCGGTCGCGTTAGCGTTGATTAAGATTAAATGCTGGTTTTAGTTTGCAAACATACACACAAAGAGAGAACATTCTGTTTTTGACAATTTCTCTCTCTCTCTCCCTCTCTCTCTCTCCCTCTCTCTAGTTCTCAAGTTCTCATTATTTCGATCGTTTTTTTTCTTTCTTTTTCGCCTTTTTTCCGTCAGTTTGTTCACTCGAGCATCCGTTCACAAAAACCGACCGAACTAAGCTTTTTCAACCAGAACCATGAAAAACAATCTTCAAACTAAATCGAACCAAAGTGCAAATTCACTTTTGGTTTGTGAACAACAACAACGAAAGAACTGCGAACGACGCAAGCGAAAGTAGAAAAAAAACAACAACTAAAGACAAACTGTAAAAAGTTTGATAAGTTTGATTGAGTCTCTTACACGCAGAGTTGAAAAAAAAATGCAAATTGCATTCGATCAAGTTTGAATTGATTTGTATCATTTTTGCAACACTATAGTTTATGTGCATGTGTGTGTGGGTGAGGGTGATGTGAATCTGCAATTTTATGCTAACAACCATTATGAAATGTTGCTCTTGCTGCGTATTTAAAATGTAAATTTTCTACATTTGTTTACAATGTCGAGCTTTCCAACGGGAAAGAAAATCATCGCAAACCAATTGCGTTCAATGATAAACTCAGTCGCTCATCAATTTTGCATGAGCGTCTAATCGCTCGATTGTACAACGCTTTAATGTAATTGACGAATTGCTCTCTGCAAAAAATATAATGTGAGTGTGTTTGCATGTATGTATGCAGACCGAAAATGCAACGAGTTTTTTTTTCAGCGCAATTACAAGAAGGCGTTTTTCGAAAACGGACGAATAATCAAATAATAATTCATTTTATGAATATAAACAATGAGATGGGATTTTTGACCAAATGGAACTTTGCTAGCTGCGTGTATGCTATACAACATTGTTTTAAATTGGTATCAGTGTGTGGCATGCATTCGGTGATTCCCGTCGAAGTAAAGTTACGAGATCGTCGAAACGTGTTTATATGAGAAACGGATTTGTTTTGTTCCAATTTCGAATAAAAGAGAAGTGGAAGTGGGCAGAGGGTGAGTTGAGCGGAGCTAATTACATGGAGTTAATAAAAATTAAAACCTGAATCGAAAACAGCAAGAGTCAAGCAATAGCAATAGAGAGAAGAAGCACAACCTGTATTTCATATTAAATTTTCCCACCAAAATATTCTCTCGTTATGTTCCAGTTCTGCTTTAGATTCGTTTTCAAATTCCGTTTTTTTCTTCTGATGTACACTACCGTGCAAAAGTTTGCAACCACTAGGTATTTTTCATACAAATTGACCATTTTTGGTGGACTCATCAACATATTTCGGAAACACCTGCACTCTTGATATTTTGTGCATAGTTTCTACAACGTTTCAATAGTAAATCACAGAGGTTTCATCAAAAAATATTCACGTATTTAAAAAATATATCAATTTGAATTTGATCTGTTTTAATCTTCATACAAATTTGATCATTTTTCACACAGTACAAATTCAAATTGCTATATTTTTGAAATTCATGATTTTTTTTTTTTTTTAAATACGTGAATTTTTTTTGATGAAACCTCTGTGATTTACTATTGAAACGTTGTAGAAACTATGCACAAAATATCAAGAGAGCAGGTGTTTCCGAAATATGTTAATGAGTCCACCAAAAATGGTCAATTTGTATGAAAAATACCTAGTGGTTCCAAACTTTTGCACGGTAGTGTATGCGTTGACAAACCTGAATTCACACATTGTGTATTTTCATCAATGGAAAAATACTCACGCATCGTGCGTTTCTCTCACGAGACGAGACAGAGTGTGTGGTGTACGCGAAATTGTTGGGCCATTTATGCCTTGGTATAGATAATATACATCAATTCTATTTTTCGGTCGACCGATGGTGCATAACAGCCGGTTGGTTGATTTTTGTGTGATTTGCATATACAATACTATATCGTCGGTTTGCTTTCTCTCCCTTGTTTTATCTCTCTATTCTGTCTCATTCTCACGCGCCGTTCGCTCTTTCTTCGCTTGAATTTTTGAATTGACAATTAATGTAAGGGCAATCATTCGGTGCGCATAAAGGAATGAATTTTTCAGGCGCTGCTGCTGCACGTGTATGAGGTTTCGCTTTTTTAAAATAACCAAACAATTTTCTTTTTATTCTCTCTCTCTCTCTCTCCCTCCCTCCCTCTATCTTTCTTTTCGTTGAGCTTATTCTCTTTTATTTCATTATTCGTTGATTGTTTGTCCTATTTTGAAGTGTGGTGTGTTTTGTTTCACTCACCCTTTGATCGAATCGCATTCGCTTCATAGATATCCTTATCGAGTATTTCCTCTTTAATTGTTTTGCTGTCCAAAGCCATCTGAAATGGTAAAGAGCGTTCATAATTAAGCATTTTCCGTTGGTTTTTTTTCTTCGTTCAATTTTGTGTAAAAGTCTTCGAATGGATCAGAGTTGGTCGGTTTCGAATGGATCAGAGTTGGTTTGAAAAACAAGAAAAGAATAACATAACGTCAATAAAAGTGTGACCGAGAGAAAGTATGACAATGAACAAAAAAATTGAATTAGAGAAGAAACGGAGAGAGAAGAAAGAGAAAAAATTTAAAACCGACCGATTTAAGTGAAGAGAATTTTCGAAATTTTTCCATTTGGAATTCCTGGAAAATTCAGTCGATTTCTCGTGTAGGCTGACACGCATTCTTAATTTTCTCAAACCAATGGTTGACATTTGGTCACAACGATAAGGTCACATGGAAAATGGAGATGTTCATCGAGTCACGTGTTGAATATTTCATCGAAATATAACTCTTTCTCAGAAACAAATTGTTGCCAGCAATTAAACAAGTACACCGACGTATATCGACGACGCACCGCTGTTATTGATGCCAAAATTATCAATCAAAACCATCATGTCCAAATAACAGAACACTCTTCCGAAATCTCTCTCTATCTCTCTTTTTCTTTCGCTCTCGCTCTCTCACACTCACCGTTCATTGAATCGAAGTGTAAACAAAAGCGGAAATCGATCAAATGTTGTGTATGTGTTCTGAACTGAATGAAACTCGGAAACAGATAGCAGACGACCGAAGAAAACGGCAATAACATCGGAATGTGGCGAAAAGAACATTGAACAGACGGGCAAAAGTGTTTGGAATGCTTGGGAAATCGATTCGAATCTGCAATTGGAGAACAACAGACGGATGATGAAACCAAACATACACATATTTGTTTTCGTGTTCAACTTCTTTTCTTTTCTCTATCGATTAAAGAGAACAACACATATCTTTTGTTGTTTGACAAATGTTTTCTTTTATTCAAAAGTGGCAAAAATGAACCGTTGTTTCTTTTTTTTTCTTCTTTAAATTCAATCAGATCGATAAAAATCAATGCAGGTCGGTGTAAAACATGCCTTTGCATAAATGAATGGTTTGGAGCGAAAACGTAATACAGAAAAGTTGAGCGGAAAAATGTCAAATGAAAAGGGATAGCTATATACATAGTTCACTGTAGTTTACTATACAGTTTACTATATGGCTATCCCTTTTCCGCTCATTCATCATCGACATTTTTCCGCTCAACTTTTCTGTATTACATTTTCGCTCCAAACCATTCAAATATAGTGCGAAATATTATCAGATATTGATTTTTGATTTATATTGAACCAAAAAAAAACCACAAGTCAATATTTTTGCATTCCTTGATCCAAAAGTTATGACTATTACTTACAATGTAAAACCGCAGCAACACACCCAAAAAACAAATGGTATGGGAAATGAAACTTAGAAACACTTAGAAAAGTGTCTGTGTTTTTTCTGTCTCTCTCTCTCTCTATCTATCTTTTGAATGATATAAAAACCCGGTCGAATTCGGTGGGATTGAAATGTGCGTCATGTCGAGTCATGAACTCATATATACGTATGTGTGTGTTCAATGTTGTTTCACGATTGCCACCATGTGGGACCCGTAGTTTTCAGTTAATAATCTAAATATAAACACCAATTTGGCGATGAGACCATAAGCCGGAGCCCACATTTCACATCGATCACGATATGTAATCAACAAGTATATTGCTGGCGAGTAAGAAGAGAGCGAAAAATGCACGAAAAAAAAGAAGAATCGACTAAAATTTATGCTGGCTTAGATGTGTGACTGACTCCATACATGTATATTGTTCGAGCCGTTCGAATTTCAAACGATTGTTTTGCTTCTTCTTCGTCAATTGATTGAGATTTATGTGTGTGTCTGTGTGTGTGTTTCGGGCAGTATGCGATCTCTGACCGAGAGACAATCACGAGATGCCCAAACGGGATTCGTTTTGTAGCAATCGACGTTTAGTCGGTCGTTAACTCTCATTGACTTTTCGGTTACTCCCATTTCACGTTTTGACTCCGTTACTACATTCGGATTTTGCTCTATGCATCTTTCGAGCATTGATTTCTCTTCGTTTGAACAATTTTTGAACGTTTCTCTTTCGAGCCTTTTGCCTGCTGTAAAAATAATCATCTTCTGAATCATTCAGACCGAATGTCGTTGATTCGAGTTCATTTGATTGCGTGCACATTGTTGGTGTTAGCGAAATCATTTCGCACAACTTCGTTCATTTCTTTGAGTCGGTATCATTTTTCATAGACGTTTCATATTCCGTTTTGTTTTATGGCCAATTTACTTTTTGGTTATAATTAGTTTTGACTGTTGGGAGCGAATAGAAGCATTTGCGAAAATTCTAATGAACACTATTCCATTAAAACGCACCTGGTCGAAAGTCAAGCCGTCACTTGAGCGAGCGGATTTTTAGACAACGGAGCAACCAATTCAGCCAGAATATATATATCTGGTTAATTAGAAATAAGTTAGAATAAGAGTGAGTTGAGTGTTGTTTCTTTTCGGTCGGTCACCGAAATTGCAATGTAACGAGAATATATCGCAGCTGCGACTCTATTTCAATACTACTTTTGCCCAATGTTTATTTCCTTTTTGGAAAATGGTGAACGCTGCTGTTGTTGTTGCTGCTGCTGGTGCTGTCGCTGCTGCACGGATTAAGCATTTTGATTTGTTTGCGATGGATTTATTCTCGGGGGGGGGGGGGGCTGAGGGTGTGAGAATGGTTACAGTGAGCAATCTGTGCCTTCGATAAAGAAAAGAATTTAAATGGTCAAACAAATGTTCAATTCGCATTTTCAAAACATGCGATATTTTACAAGTTGGCATGGTAATGATTGTGTGTATTGCGTTGCTTGGGTTTGGCTGACACGATGCCTCTCACACAGCCGTTTCACCAATGGATGCCAGTGGTAAAGACATTTGGCATGCCGGTGCGAGAGATCCAAACCGAAACCGAGGCGAGAGATTTGTGTGATTTTTCGTTCTTCAAATCGTGTTTCGGTTGTTCGGTTGCTTGATTTTTGGACACAATGATGCCTCTTCAATATCAAATTTGAATATGCTGGTGGTGACGCGATCCGCCGCGTTCATTGATGAAGCACGGCTGCCAAAAATAGTCTCATGGCTGTCGAAATTGAGTAAACACTGTTCTATAGGTGGTTTTTTTTTTCTTCATTGCAGTAGCTTTTCCTGTTGGTTTTGTTTCTCTTTTTTTTCGTTTGGTTTTAATTCGGATACAATCTACTGGATATGGAGGTTTACCATGTACTGCCATAGTTAGTATTACGAAGCCAAATGTCTATGTGGTATTTAAAAAAATTGTTCACACAGGATGCTGGCGTATTAGTAATTCGTTGCTCTTTTTTCGTTCACTCACTCACTCACTTGCTCTCTTTCTCTTTCTTGTTTGTTCGGTGTATGGATTTGTGTGTGTGTGTGTGTGTGCACGCTCGTTTATGTATTCGGCTGGGTTGGGAGTGCAATTTCCAGTGGTCACAGGTGTTTGAAAAACCCCATCTGGCGCCAAATGTTTGTTTTCTACTTCGATATATTAGAATGAATGTTTGCGTATTAAACCGCCACCACTACACCACACTCTCTCCTTTGCCAATGAAATGCCACCATATCCTCAAACTCACTCTTTTTCTCTCGCTCTCCTGCTCTCTGGCTCTCTAGCTCTCCACCTCGTTCACTCTCTTCTTTTGATTCCCTTTGAACTGTTCGCTATTGCTTTCTGGCTCATGCTTTTATATGTCGCACCTCTAATTCGCTTTTATTTTTCCTCTTTCTTCAACTCTTTCTCTCTCTCTCTTTCTCTCTTTTCTTTCTTCCTCTCTTACTCTCGCCCAGTTTCCATTCTTTTTCATCTTCCCGCCGGCTCGTTCAATCTCAGTTGCCATTTGCTATATTCGATTATTTCTGTCTCGTTCGCTCGAACTGTTGAGGTACTAAAAATTCGATGATGCAGCACTTGGCATTATAAAAAAAAACACTTATTTGAAACTATACTCGTCGCGTACCAATACTGTCGATTACATGGTGTGCACACGGTATTCGAAAACCAGTTGACAGGGTTCGACAGGCGCAAGATTCGAATATATGGCCAATTGTTCAGCGATAATAGTAATAACAAATCGAAAAAACAATTCACAAAAAAAACGCAAACACACACTGCGTTTGGCTAATGTGATAGCAACAGCAGCGCACACAAGAGAGAGAGAGAGAGAAAGAGAGAGAGAGAGACTGATGACACAAAAGCTGATACACAAACAGCAGAGGCTCAAGAGTCTGCAATGAAAACAGAAGCTGGAAAAAAAATGACCGTAAAAACCACATGATTTACATGAGTCGCGCACGTTGCGATGTGAAGAAATGCAACGGCCTTCAATTATCGCTCAAAAATGGTCGAAACCATAACCAAATATTTGTCTCGTCAACATTCAAACGCATTGCAAACAAGAATACATCGCACAACCTTTTCCTCTCTCGCAAAATAGACTCAGCGAATTGCGATGGTTGTGTGCATTTTTTTGGATAGGAATAAAAACAATAAACATTACGGAATAATTGATTTAAAAAATGGTTTTTGGCAAATGAAGAACTTTCACCGCGCCATCGAGAGAGAGAGAGAGAGAGTGAGAAATTCCCAAGCACACTCCTCTGGCGAACGACCAAGATCGTTTACACCGAGCACACATTTGGTTTCGAAATATTTTAGTTGTTTTTACACCAATTTTTTTCTCTTCTTGTTCTGTTGTTTTGGAAGCGAGAGCAAGTCTTGAATGTGCAGAATTTTTGTGAACGTTCATTGTAATACAGTCAGTCTAATAAATAATATGCCATGTGCAGGCAATACGAAGCGCACAGTACACACACAAAACCAATTTGTGTGCACATGCTGGCACTGCCATCAGCAGCCCCGTACAAACATACACAATGTGTGCGTATATGTGTGTATGTTGGTTGGTTAGATATATTCTA